TTTTTACCTTTCCTTAGGAATGCAGAAGACAAAAATAAAAGCTAAGGCTAAGTTATGTTGGGGAAATTATTGCCCTTAGCTTAGGAATACAGTACTTTTAAACCAGTGGCCCAACTTTTCCACTTATCAATGCAAGTAAAAACAACATCATCAAAGAAAAGAAAGGAGGAAATAAAACTAAAACAAACTTTAGGGATTACTGCCAAAAACACTATTGAAATCCAAGCTGTGGGAACAACACTTTGTCTTTTCTGTCCTGAGGGGACTCGTCATCTGTGCAGACAGACAGCTCATGTTAGAAAACCTGGATGTGCTGCAGTCAGGTCTGAATCATTGCTCACCATCGTACAAACAGGCTACAACAAAATCACAATTTGTGCTTAAAGGAGACATATCATGCGTTTAAATCTTTTTTTTTTTTTTTGCACATTTAAATCATTCACTTGGGGGATATATAAAGTGGAACTGCAATGCTTTGGTCTGAAATCCTCCTTAATGTAACTCCACAAGCCCCMTTTTCCGGGAGCAACTCGTTTTGAGGCTGTCTCTTTAAATCCAAACAAGTCTTTCATGTCTTTTTAGTTTCTGCCTCATTGCCTTGTTGGCGTCAGTGACCCAGAAACACAGACGCACAGATTTGTTTTCTCTCTGCATCTCGGTGTTGTTCAAACTCCCACGAGGGTGGAATGAAAAACATCATGTCCGAACTCCCCGACCAGCTTTTAAATTCAGCTGCTGTGCTTTGATTAAAGCAGCTGAAACCTTACTCTCACTCCGTGTGTGTTCACTTTCAATCATTCAGACTAACAAACACACACACACACACACTTGCAGAACATATTTCACTAGGAAACACACGTGCACATGTGCAGCATGGTTCCCCCGTGTGTGCAACCTTTGTAAATCACTGCTGCTGCAGAAGAGCATCTTTCACCTTGTGACCCCTCCAACGACCAGTTTTACACCCACAGCAAAGTACAGGATGAACTTAACTCAAACAAGCCCTCGGAGCATCTGGAAAGCTTTAACCTCAGCTAAATAAATAAGTGGAAGTAGTCCTGTGGTTTTCTGTAGTCATTTTGCCATCAAGTGACACACAAAACATGGTGCCTCTGCCTCCAGAGGGAGCAGGATAAACACATTTTGTGCACTAATGTCCATGCAAACCATCCATCCATCCATCCATTTTCTGAACACGCTTCTTCCTTTTTCAGGGTTGCGTGGGTCACTGGTGCCCATATCCAGCAGTCACAGTGCGAGGGGCGGGGTACACCCTGGACAGGTCGCAAGTCCATCACAGGGCCTCATGCAAACCAGTCTTTGAAAAATTTTAAAGAGAAAAACACATTGTTGGGTGTGCCTGCTTGATAAGAGTTTTATATACTCCTTTCTGAACAGGTATGAAAAGGAAAAAAAAGTTATATGTTTTTCTGAACCTTTGACAGAATAACTATGTAATTTTGTGTTTAGTTCACAGTAACAGTAATGCATAATTTCAACTTGATTAGAAAACAATATTTTAAATTATTGTTTAATGCATATTGTGAGCAATAAAATATATTAAAATAAAAGTGTTTCACTGGAGCATAAAAAAAACTTTCTTGGGTTTAACTTGAAACCTTTAGCCGACATGTTAGAAGTCAAGTTATCAGTGTGTGTCACTGGGTTTATTTTACATAAAATATTAGACTACCTGCTATTGCAGTTAGTAAGAGGCAAAAACATGTGGTTCAGAAAATTTGCATTAACATTAAAAGTWAAAACAACATTGCTGACTCTGTTGGTGATTGTTCAAAACGTAAAAGTAGTTTTTATCCACTGAACACTGCTGACATCCAGAGGAAATCATTGAGCTGTGCAGATCAGTGAAGGCTTTTGCTCTGTAATACATTTTTTAAACATGTCACTTTTTATATGCCAATAATCATTAGGTATTACTCGTATTGCTATTATCAGACATTTAATAAATGTATGTTTAATCCTTCACACTTCTTGATATTTTATCTTTAATTTGACTTTTTTAAGAGATGATTTGCAAAMCAATTTAAACTGTTTCTGACCATTTTGTGCCATGAGTCACTCAGTATGTTCCATGCTTGATAGTTTTATATGTCTCATACAACTAACACGAAGAAATTAAATTAAAATACTCACTGTATTTTAATACTTACCATTAAATAAGTATTTAATACTGTAATACTTAGGACATATGACCTAAAATTCTAAGTTATGTCCCCCACAAGATGCAAATAAATGAATAAATAAAAATAAAATAATAATGATAAYAATAAYCATTTAAAAAAGTTTCCTGTTTTGGACTTTGTTTTTRTCAGGTCTTTAGAATGGTTTTAAAMCMTCCTGCTGCAGAAGGATTGCAAAAGTCACCAAACATTAATAAACTGTAGGCTATTGTGTAAATAAACAGCTTGGTGAATGTAACACAAACTGATCTAATAATAGACGAGTATTACAGGAGACTGACTAAACAAGACAGTGATGTAATTCCTTCTGTTAAACATATTATCTGTGTCTGCTTCTTCCATTACATCTTTCCTCATGAGTCATAGTGACACACAATGAGAGCATGAGGCAGGAACATTTAAACCCTGAAGAAAACAGGGTTTAAAATTTGGCTCCAAGGCCAGACTTTCCAAAAGACTTACTGGGGTCACAGCCAGCACCCCCTGAAGATGAGAGGACCCCTGCAGACGAGAGGACCCCAAATATTGTTGTTTTTAATGAATCGTTGTTTTCAATATGTTTTTAATTGTTTATTACTAGAAGAAGTGCAAGTCCACAACAGTGGAAACAGTAATAATTTAAAGCTAAAGATAGCAAAAGACTAGATAAAAGTCTTTTTTACATAAAGCTACAAGGATAAAAATAGCTCAAAGAAGCAGAAGTCAAATGGTTTTCTAAAAAGCAAAAGACGCTAGAAGTGAAAGGCATGAAAACACGTAATAAAAGTAGTAAAATGCCAACTAAAAATTATTGTTGATAAAGGTTTGCTAAAAGTAGATAAAAKGTAGTGTAAACTAAAAGCTGAAAGCAGTTAAAAGCTAGCCAAAAGTAGACAAATTGTGGCTAAAATCTAAAAATAGCTAAAGGGAAGGGTTAAGTAAAAGCTTGAAGTAAAGGCTGACTTAAAGTAGAAGAACTGTGGCTAAAATCTAAAAGTAAAATAGTCTACAAGAAAATAAGAACAAATGCACTAAAGCAAATTTCAAAGAGAACAATGCTTTTGAAAAAAAAATGAAGATATGCTATTGTATTTTTAGGATCAAATATTTTAAATTAAGTTTTTATAAATGTTACAAAAACTAAACGTCAATGCTCACATCTGAAGGAGATAGACATTTTTGGCACATGCATAGCTAAAATAGCACAAAGTATGCAGAAGTATCGAAAAAAATAAAATTAAAGTATGTGTGAATCATGCACAACAGTCTTACTATGTAGGAAATTGAGGAAGCGTTCATGTTGCAACACAGCGACCCCTGCTGGTTATAATCATTTACAAATCAGCATCATTCATGTTAGAAACCGTCACACTGAGTAAGTAGACATTAAAAACATAGATATTAGTTGAATTTAACTAAGGAAATAAAGCCTTGCAATACTAAAAATGAAAATAAAAACTGTCTAAATAAAAACTGTGATTTATGTGCAAGGATGAAACACAAAGAAACACACAATTCAATTTTTCAGTTCTGTCTTTCACCTGTCATATAGAAAATTCCTTTTCTTAAACATTTTTTTCCTGCCTTGTAATCTTACTAGTTTAAATTATATCCTATCAAATCAAATTTATTTGTGATGGTCGTCCCTCTCATTACGCACAGAACACACCAAGATAAAAGAGATTTGGATACCACAGACCCAAATATATAAAGACTTCAGCAGCAGCAGGTAATTATTTTTATTATTGTTGCACATTTGGTGGTCGATCCACCCAAAGAACATGGTTTGGAAACCAAAATCCAGACTGCAAACGTGACGACTTGCATGGATTACATTACCGTAAACAACCTAAAACCTGGTATCAAAACCTTTCCTTGTCTTGCAATGACAATTTGAGATGGTTTATTCCCAGATGAAAATCTGCAGTTTAAGAAAGACAGAAAGAAAGAAAGAAAGAAAGAAAGAAAGAAAGAAAGAAAGAAAGAAAGAAAGAAAGAAAGAAAGAAAGAAAGAAGTCGCAGTTTTTTAACAATATTGAAAAAAAGGACTTTGAAAGGATTTAGGAAACTAAAAACAGTTTAAAAACAATTTAAAAATTGAATTACTATGTAAACATATTTTTACCAGGAAAAAAAAGATAAAGAAAAGAAAAGAAAAATGGCCAAGTTTTGACAATAATGCTTCAAAGCCTTGCAACATTGTGCAAGCAATGCTAAAGAACAGTGTTAAATGCAGTGTTGCACCTAGGTTACATTTTTGTGTCTTAAATATGTAGCTATATTAAAGACAAAAATAGAATAAAAAATAAAAATAAACTTTTTTTCAAGAAAAAAATAAATTTAACACCTCTAGACATTGATTCATTGGAAATGCCAGCTTTAGGCCTACAGCACATCCAAAAAACAGACTGACCGAAGTGCTTTACATTAAATGAAAATCTAATTTAATTAGAGAATTTACATTTTTAATTAGCTAATTATAAACAAAAGAAGTAGAACTCAATTTCAGACGCTCTAGTAGTTCAGAGGTTTTCAAACTGAGGTCCCAGGACCCCCAGGGGTATGCAAGTAGTATTTTGGGGTCTTCAAAAAAATCGATAAATTGTTCATTTGATTTTTATTTTAAAATACATAATAAGGGGAACAATACATTAGTAAAACAAACATACCAAACCAAACAAAAGAAAATATTCCCATGGCATTTAGGAGGTAAAAGGACAGTAAGCTATTTTTAAAACAGCATGGGGTTTATAAGGGGGTCCCTAGACCCAAAACGTTTGAGAATCCACCGGTCTAGTACAAGACGTACTCAAAGGCAACACTTTTGCGCGTGTACTTCACATTTTAAGGTAAAAGCCTTCCAATCGTGTTCTGTACGTGGCAGCGCTTCACAAAACGTCCCTCTGTTCTATTCATACCCCCTGGGTACCAAGTGGATTTCAGTCCACGCACAGAAGCGTGACAGTCGTGTTTTAAAGCAGCTGGAGCACAGGTAAGCTGCCTTTATAAGATTATTATCTATTGAGCTGCCTTAAAATATGATTCACTACATCATGTCTGAGTTGTTGGTCTTGGCGAGCCTCCCGAACATGCTGTTCAGAAGAAGTCCAGCAACAAGCTCTGTTTTTATTAAAGGTATCAGAGCAAAAAGGCTTTATGGTGCCAGAGTAGTAACATAACAGCTGCAGTGTCATTGTTTACCGAGCTGTCTGTTCATTCCGGTGTAACTCGAGACACTGCGGAACAGTCTTGTTATTCTGCGAGCAGACGAAGAGGAGAGAAGTTTTAAAACTTTGCGCGAACTTTCTGCCCGGAGGGTGTTGGTTTTCACATGGCTTATCACACGCGCGCGCGCTTTAGAATAAAGTGACGCTATTATTTTATTTCTAATATAGGCAACAAGCTATAAAGCGCAAACAACCAAGACGCACACTGAATAATAACAAMAAGAAGTGTTGGAAGTTTAAGATTTTCTAGAAGCGTCTTAGTTGGGATGACGTCACGGGGTCGACCCAGCTGGAGCTAATGAGCTCCGGTTTCTTCAGACAGGGTCAGCAAAATATGTAACGGTTTAATTAACATAACAAGCACTGTATAATATTATAACAGCTGTCCTGATTTAAAAAGTAAAACAATAATGGGCGGGATATTCTAGGTTTGTTGAATGAATCTGATCATATAAACTGCAGATTGCAGCTTTTATATCACTTTTTTCCCTTAAGGTGGCCCAGTCTACTGTGGAAGCAAACGAAAGACAATAAAAATGCTGGCAGTTCAWGTTGTAATGGCGATGAAATAGTTTGCACGTCATCACAGAAACTTTTAAAGACTGGCCTTGGGGTATATTTTGTGTGAAGTGCTTCATCTGTCTTTTTATAGAAACTTCCAAAGTATATTTAGCTGTTTATTTACATTTTTATGGTTTACATGTTAGCATTAAAATACTTTTTGAAAACTATAAAATAAAACATGAAAAGGTTATTCTGAACCAGTCTTTTCTTCCAGTCCTAGCAAATGTCTCATGGTCACCAAATACACAGGTTGGTTAATAAAAGGATGTGTGCTCAATGGCTGATGCCCTGCAGGGATTTATTTTCACTCAGTACAGAAAGACACAAACTGAATGTGGCAGCAGCCATAAATGGGWTGCAATAAAGAGAATGATGTCATAATTCTGTCAGCAGTGATTTGGCTATAAGGCAGGTGATATGCAGACTCAGATAATGACTTCCAACATTCAGCTTGTACATAAAAAAAATAATAAAAATACAAACACATTTTTCTGTTGCTTTGTGTTTTTCTTCTTTTGTTGACAAATCTRCATCAGTCAGTGTGGTCATGTCTGGTTTAATACTGCCTAGATAGATTTATTAAGCTAATAGTTTTATGGCACAATAAGGTTTTTGGAACAGCATTGTCCTCATGTCCAATTAGGATTTTTATTATATAAATATATATTATTATATTTGTAACCACAATGGTGCATATTTGAGCCCACAAGTTAATGTTTTAGCAGCACTCTGTTAACATTTCTTTTGTGAACTTGTTTCYAACAGTCAGAGATAGATAACTTTAGAAACAGAGCTGTTTGGTTTTTTGGTTATTGATTTCAAACTCCAGTTTAAATCTGCTTAACGCTTAGCTGATTTTTAAACCCACTTTGTTTTCTCTCTGATTTTGTCCAGTGAAAACAGATCTTAGTCAGGAAATTGTCACTTCCTTCTTGTTTGATAAGTTCCACAATGTTTCTACAAGATTCATCAAGATTGCCTAATAGGGAGTTCCTAGAACCCTCTTATTTTAAATGGAAAGGAAAGTCTTAAGTCTGTCATGATTGGACTGATTTTAAATCAGTTAAAAACTTGGGATGTATTTGGTGTAACTGTTAAAAGATCCAATGATTTGTAAGCAAAACTAACCATTTGCAATGAATGCACAGTAATATGAATTGTTACATACTGGGCAAGTGGTTTTCATTTTGCAGAGGAAATTAAAAACTGMAGAGCWACAACAAAGGCAAGTTCAAATCTGAACCTGGCATGCTCTGCTTGCAGTCTGACAGTCAGGTTTTCCCATGATCTTCACAGTTTTAACTTTATCGGATGTCTACATAACCCTGCACATCCAGAATGATGGGGCGGTTTGTGTTACTCACCAGCCCAGTTCACAGATTCCTATCAGTCAGTTTGTATTTAACATTAAACATTTACTCGATGCAATCTCTCTGCTTGATGTACGCACAGCTCAGTGTGACGGGGAGTGGACACCTGGCATACAGCTGAGTCCCTCAGCTTTCTGCCCTGCAGCTTTCGTTTTTTTGCTGTATAGGGGAATGGTTAAAGTCCTGACTGGTTTTTGAAGAACGTAGAATGTGGTTTTAACTGTGAGGCGGCACTAGAGCTGTCGCCTCTCAGCGAGAAGGTCACAGGATCGTCTTCTGGCCTGGGGCTTTTCTGTGTGGAGTTTGCATGTTCTCCTTGTGCACAGGAGGGGGGTTCTCCAGATACTCTGGTTTTGTTTGTCTCTGTATGTCCCTATGATGGACTTTTTGCCTGTCTAGGGTATACCCCACCTCGTGCACAGTGAACACTGGAGTTAGGCACCAGCTCCCCACGACTCAGAAAGGATAAGAGGGTAAGAAGATTAATAATTGATGATTTTTACCACCATAATTTAAAAACAAAATTAATGTGACACTTAGTAACACAAGTTTTCAATAATGTCTTTGCATCAAACAGTTGATTTTTGTATCCTACTTTGGAATAGTAATCATTACGCATCAACATTTCCAATCAAATTTTATCCAGTTTTCTCAAAACTAAATAGAAGTAAACTTATTTAAACATTTCCATTCAGCACTAGTGTGATCAGAGACAGCTGCTGTTCCTATTTGCTACATTTTAAGGGTTTGTGTCAGATGTGAGTTCACTGCTGGTGTAAACATTTTCTCCCCAGGAACCACTGCCCCATTGCAGTCCTTGGATCCTAACTGCTTTACCACAGTGTGTTTATTCTTATCTCCATCATGGAGCCACACCCTCCCTATGTATATTTATTTATACCTGTATACAAAAAGCAGGAATCCAACACATTGTGAAGACAAAAATATATGTTTTATGAWAATTGACATGCACAAATGTGAAATAAATAAAGAGACAATGACTCAGTATAACTCTATGTTCATGGTAATGGTTTAGGTGTGGACAGTTGAAAATCCAGACACCCAGGTGCACCCACCACATCCTCTCCTCTTCAGCGTGAGTAGGACCTAAAAATAGGGGCGCAAAAAGGACCCAGAAACATCTGGGGCTGGACTTTCCTCCAGAAATGTGACATCACTGTTAGAGCCTGCAGCAACAGGCGCCAGTGCTTTGAGCTGAGCAATCATGGCTGTAAATTACAAGGGGAGAGATTTGGTCATTTATTTTCTGTTTTAGGACTGTGGTAGTAATTATCGGACCCAGCACTCTGAAAACTATTAGCAGCCAAATATAAGACTCAAAGCTATATCTGTGCTAAGAAAAGATTTGCAATTGGGGAGAACTTTGAATATTTTTTTTAAGTTACTACCTGATGGTATTTTTACAGATCTCTTATAAAATCTAATTTAGACTGATAAGTTGAGTATTAAATAAAACAAGTTAAAGTTCATTCATTGCATTTTGAACAATCTTAATTTCATGACATCCATGCAGCTCTCCAGACCAGAGACTACAGAATGACTTGTCTGTGCTGGGAAAGTAAAATTAAGCTTWTTTTATTTAATTTTTTATAGCAAACATATTTGAATGTGTGAGTTGGAGTTTGGTTTTAAATGTGTATATTTTACACACACCCAGTGTGGTACATTCCAGTGTAATTACTATAATTCTACAAAACTAAGAATGATGAAAATAGGCTCCTTGAGTTCATCTACATAATTACAGTTCACATTTACTTACAACACATAACAAAAAGCCTTATTCTGCCTTTTTGCAGGACTTCTTGCTCTTTGTAAATGACCTTACAGGCAGCTGATGCCTCTTTTTTTAAATATGTGCGCTGCCCTGCAGTTTTACTTTACGAAGTTCATTCACTCCGTTTGCCGTTTTAGTTCTACTGTTAACAAAAAATAAACTTTTAACACATGCTCCATAGAATAAATTCAGTTTTGAATTATTAGAAATTTAGCGTAAGTTTAGTAAGCGGGTGTTGCAGAGTTAGAGTGATATCTGAAAAGACTTTCTAACCAAAGGATTATCACAGTGAGCCGACATCATCCTTTTAAAGTCCCAGTTTGTCTGATTACAGAGTGGTGCAGACAGAGGACTGTGTGTGGTTCATGTTTGGCCTCGGTGATGTTTAAGTGTTTTACACATAAACAGTAATCTCTGAGAGCTGAACAAAACCCAGGAGACAGAAGTGAAGCAGAGCCACTTTCACAAAGAAGATCTGGTTCATGAATAAAGTTCACGCAGCTCAAGTTCCTTTTGCCCCAGATACAGTATGATCAATTACACAATGTTTTGATAAAAAATGTAGGATAAACAAAGAACAATAGATTTTGCATAGATAAGTAAAGCCRTCTGATGAGATTATATCTGTTTCAATTTAGACATCACTGGCCATCTAGTGGGCATGCAGAGTTAAAAAAAATCAACTTCGACTAACTTTTTCTGTACACAAACCATCAAAACAAGAAATTTACTTAAGTCCAACTCCACTTTGCATAGATGAAGCAGTATTTGTTATGAAACAGTCGTATTTCTGTAGTGTCCTACTTTTTTTTATTAAAAACACACACAGCTGGTAATGACTCATTCATTGGACGTTTTTTTACATTATTTCAAGGCTGTCAGCATTTTCAGTCTGGAAACACAGGATCATTGTACAAATGTCATCTCAGGCTACAGAAAATTGTGGTACTGTTGATATTTTTCATTGAATGATAAAAAAATCACATAAATCCTGTCTGACAGTCCATTGCAATTAGTTTCAAAAGAATCTAAAYCATAAATATTAGATGGAGATTCAACTCAATTCAAATACTTAATTGATCCCAAAGGGAAATTACAGTCAGTGGKTTTTTTTTTCTGCAAGGTTTTGTGCAGTTTGTTCATTCTTTGTTTTATAGCAACTTGATGAGTTTTCTGTTTCTTATTTAAAGTTACAGAGCAGGCAGAATGGAGAAGTTCCTGTTTCCTATYTCCTGGGTTTTGCTCTGCTGCTGCTGGACGACACATGCAGAAGTTTTTACATCCATCGGTGAGTTACAGATACTTTGTTCATACGTTCAGAACTTACATGTGCTGACTGTCAGTTTGATAGAAATTGCAACTGTTTAGTCGTACTTTGGATTTAATTATAAAACAACATATTAGTATAGTAGAATGGTAAGTGATTTAAATATGTTTTCCATTAGGTATCTAATTTCTCAGCAGTTTGCATTCTGAGAGTCAAATGACTCACTGTGCCTTTCTGAACCTTCCAGCTCAGTTATTCTGGTTGCTTCATTWTTCCTCTGCTGTGTGTGAATTACTTACAGCTGAGTGCCTTTCTGAAATGTTAGAGCACACCAAACTACCATCTCTTCACCAGCTCATGGATTAAGATTTAGCTAGAGTTTGCTTAATAATTCTGTACTATCTAAACTCTGCAGTATGAGGATGAGGACATCAGCTCAAAAAAACTTTGTTACTAAAAGAGCTTTTAAAGCAAGGCAAAACACATTTAGAATGAGCAACATTAGTAATTTAAATTTATGTAACAGCTTTGGCTGATTTACAAYATCTGCATGCCTGTTTTTTTCTGCAGGACAAATGACTGACCTGCTCTACACAGAAAAGGAGCTGGTTCAGTCCTTGAGAGAGTACATCAAAGCTGAGGAGTCCAAACTTGCTACTGTCAAAAGGTATGTTCTAACCATGTGACTTAGAAAAAAACTTAAAAAAAGTATTTCTTTTAAATGGGATGTAACATGTAAAATCCACTTTTTTAGCCATTAAATGCATTTGGTTGTGTAGTTGGAGTCTGTAAGAGTGCAGAAAAGTTTAATTAGTTTCTCGCTGTGCTGTTTAGATCTCTCTGACTTTATATTCAGTTTGGGCCACGTTTTCCAATCCATTCAGTTTTTTTCTATTGTCTATGACATTTTCTGAACTATTACATCACAGTATTTGTGACGGAACTTCTAAATAAGATCTTGACTTACCAGCTACAATTTCATCATCTTCATTCTCCTCTGGCTSTGGGTCAGACTCTGGCTCCAACATGTGAGGCTGGATGGACGAATCTTCTGTTGTTGACATCTTTTAATTAATTAGTTTTTGTACCGCTATATAGTCATAAACCGCTCTATGAAACTCGAATGGACAGGTCTGGAAGCTGGAGGCGGGGTGTGAAATGTTTCTTTTGCATTTAAAGAGACAGACTCAAAACGAGTTGATTTGAGACACCTCAGAAAAAGGGTGAAGAGGAGGAAAAAAATGTATAGGTCTTCTGGACCGGTTCTTCTCTAATGAAACGTTTCGTCTCTTCTCCAAGAGACTTCTTCAGTCTGAGAGTTTCAGGCAAAATTCAGGCTTTTGTGATGTGACTGATACTCACATCACATGGCTATCGTTGACACCTAATTAACACTTATTGTTACCAGGGGGTGGAGTGATACTGGCAATAGCTGCGCTGTAGGAGGAGGACAGCTGAAAACGAAGGCCTCAGCCTCTGTTTAATGATGGACGGTGAAGAGGAGCTTGTGGATTTACAATAATAAAGAATTCAAACTAAAGCACTGCAGTTCCACTTTATATAGACCCCAGCTGAATGGTTTAAATGTGAAAAAGAAGTATTTAAAAGGATAATATGTCCACTAAATAATAACAATATTTTTACTAATATGACCAAGTAATTCCCTTTTTCTTTTTTACGTTAACCTCTCCAGAACTTAACAGCCTGAAATATTACACTTTCTACTCTGATTTTGATTCATGATTGGAACTAGAGCCTTATTGAAATGATGAATATGGTAATTTTGAAATGAAACAGTATTTGTGTAGATTTCCCAACAGAAAAAAATGACTAACATCCTATTTTATCAACAATCTCCAGATGTGATAAAAGAAAAGTTTGTTACAGCTCCAAAGTGATTTCTTTGGTTTTAGTCTCAGKTTCTGTGTTATCTCAGCCTACTATGTGTAGCTATAATGTTTCTGTTTTGTTTAATTTTAATTCTAAACTCTTTCAGACCTTTCTGAGTGAAGTGTAAATGTGACTTTTTAGGATGTGTACATACTGTGTGTTTTAAAAGTATAGAACTGTTTCTTGTCTCATTTAGTTGGGCCAGTAAACTTGACGCCCTGACCCGAGCTTCCACTTCTGACCCCGAGGGCTATCTGGCCCACCCTGTGAATGCCTACAAACTGATGAAGAGACTCAACACAGAGTGGTCTGAACTGGAGAGCCTGGTGCTTCAGAATCCATCTGATGGTAGGGAAACTGCTCTAGCAGCTGCATAAAGTTAAATAGTTATGTCAGGGCTTTGATCACAAGCAGTAACAAATCTGTTAAGTTTTGTAGTAATACCGGTTATAGACACTGAAAACGRTACAGGAGAATTTTACTGACTGGTGTCAAGCAACAAATATAAAATCCCCTTGGAACATGACCGTGGCGTGATAGAACTTTGGCAGCAAAACGGACATTTCTGCTGTGCAGCTTTGCTCAAAGACTCCCCTCCTTAAACAAATGGTTGAAAAACTGAGCCTGTCATGTTTTCACTGCAGCTGTTCCCCATCTATGCATATTTTGGCCATGTTCTCTCTCCGTGTGTGTGTTCATGTTCAGACACAGGCCCTTATCTGTTTGGAGGCAGTTGAACAGATCCAGCCTGAGTGTGTCCTAAAATTGAATCTGTCTACGTGGCTGTTAAAGTGGGGGTGAGCAGGCTGGGCGTACACTTTTTAAACACAGATTGGTGCAAGATATTATTTAGTCCAGTAGAGGGTTTTTTTTAACCATTTTAATAGATATGTTTGCTCTTGAGCAACACAAACATATGTCAGATGAAATTCTTCATTTACAAACTAAAAATACTTCACATTGCACTTTAAATGCTTGCAGCTGGGTGCCAATAACTTTACAATTCACATTAGAAGTTTATGAGGTGTTCACAAACTATGAAATTTAATAATAAAATTTAGATTAGTAAAGTCAAATCATGGCACTTCTGCTTTTTTCTGTGTGAACAGTAGCAGTTATTGCAGTTTTTAACTGAAAATAGTAGTTGGAAATTGAAGGGGACATAATTTGGCTCATCCTTTTTTAAGTCGTAATGAAATTTMTGAAGTAAGAGCCAGTCAGGCTTAGTGTGATATGTACCTTTTAACATAGTGACTGTCATTATTAGTGACTGAGTTTAATCAGTCTATCCATCCATCAATAACAGGGATCATCAATTYCGGTCCTCGATGCCCACAGCCCTGCATGTTTTACTTGTTTCTCTGCTCCAACACACCTGATTTGAATGAATAGATGATTATCAGGCTTCTGCAGAACTTGGAAGAGGTAATTCACTGACTGAATCAGGTRTGTTAGAGAAGGGAAATAAGTAAAACATGGCTGCGGACCTAGAGGGCCGTAGTTGRTGATCCCTGAATAATTTGAATCATTCTTCCTGTCTTTCCAGGGTTCATTGCCAACATGTCTGTACACAGACAGTACTTCCCAGATGAGGAGGATCAAACGGGTGCAGCCAGGGCACTGATGCGTCTCCAAGACACATACCACCTGGATTCAGAAGCATTCTCCAAAGGAAAGCTGCCAGGTAGTCATAGTGATTGGGGATAAACATTTATAGATGAATCAACTGAACTTACAAAATATGTTTGGACAACAACACGTGTTTCAAAATTTGTCAGATGGACAGAATGAGTCTGGTCAGATTTTCATTTTTTTTTTTTGTCCTGGGTTGTTTAAAATTGAAATTTAAACTGAAGAAAAAAAAGCAGCAACTTATAATATACAACTTTTAATATTCACATATTATAGAAAATGTATTTTTTTTTACATTTGTTCCAGGTGTGCACTCTAACACCGTACTAACGGTGGACGACTGCTTTGACATGGGAAAGACGGCGTACAATGATGCAGATTATTACCACGCTGTGCTGTGGTTCCAACAATCTCTGAAGCAGCTCGACGATGGAGAAGAAGCTGTGGTCTCCAARGCAGATATTTTGGACTACCTTAGCTACTCTGTTTATCAAATGGGTGACTTACCTCGAGCTGTCGAGCTGACACGGCGACTTGTAGCCATCGGTAATCTTTTTTTAAACTTTTAATAATGGTCAGATGGTGCTAAATACAGATTTTGATTGACTAAAATAGCATTTTTTATTTTGCTATGTTTTAATTTCCTATAGCAGTCAATCAATAAAACCAGAATTATATAATGTGACAGAATGAATGAGTTTATATTCTYATGTTTTACTAATAACTACAGTCCACCTTCTACTTTAGCTTTGGTTTGACTCTGTACTCACCACAGCAATGGGGTGTTGTTCATTCCATGCAAAGGCTTGTGGTTTTAAACAGTTATTCTTGAACCAAGAGCTTTGTGGACAGCTGCAGACCATCTTCTTAGAGCTGTCATATCCTTGTTTACGTGTCATGTGAAAGAAATGTAGGTATAGTTGATGCACATTCATTTTGTTCTAAAAGGATGAAAAAGAACAATAGAAATGTCTGTGCGGAACTGAGAAGAGCACTAAATTTGCCCCCAGGTCCCAAAAGAAACTTTAAATAATCATAACAGGGTGTATTCAGCTTTTTGGTAAAGTTTGAGAGAGAAAAAAAAAGATATTTCTGTGCAACACATTGGAACACGAGTCATCAAAAACTGAAACTTGTCTTAGGAGGCAGTAGTTTTAGAGAAATGACAACTTATGTTTTTTGCACTAACAGACCCGGCTCACGACAGGGCAGGAGGAAACCTCCGTTACTTTGAGCGGCTGCTGTCCAAACAGCTCAACGAAATGGAGCAGGCTGACCAACCTGCCACTGAGGAACCCATCCAGCTAGGGACCTACAGCCGACCCAAAGACCACCTTCCAGAGAGGGAGGCCTATGAGAGTCTTTGCAGAGGAGAGGGGATACAAATGGTAAGTTCTGAAAACAGAAAAAATATCAGTGGCTGCCGATGTAATCAGTGAAACTACTATGTTTATTAGTTTTGAAGGAGACATTTTACCTGACCTTACATTGTCCATTGGGTAACAAGTAGTGCATATTATGTTTGGTAGCATGTTTGCGAACTATTGTGAATTTTCAAAATGTCATTTGTCAAAGTTGATTTGTTTGGTCTTTTGAAACAGTTTTTATTTAATTATTCTTTCCCAGACTGAAGCCAGGCGAAGCCGTCTGTTCTGTCGCTACCAAGATGGTGACAGGAATCCCCGTCTCCTGCTGAAGCCCATGAAGGAGGCGGATGAGTGGGACAGCCCACACATCGTACGCTACCTGGAAATGTTGTCAGATGAGGAGATTGAGAAGATTAAAGAGCTGGCAAAACCCAGGGTGAGACTAACAGTGCATATAATAAAATATTAGAGTTTCATGCTTGTTTGTTTCACACTATATGTGGTTTGTTAAATTTTCCACTTAAATGATTTTGGACTCGTTTGTTTGTATTTGAAAGAAGATGTAGAATTTGTGCAGAATCCTTATAAATCACTGCAGTTTTTAATAAAAATATTACTCAGTTTAAAAAATATATATTTATTTGTTTATACTACAATAATTAGTGGACTTATTATTATTTTCATTTATTTACTCTGATTCAGAAACACAAATATTTCTGTCCTATGGTACATCTTTTATAAAAGCAGTGAAACCTGATGTCCTTTATTCAGCATGAGGAATACAGAGATGGCATTATTAATTACATCAGAACAATAATCTACATCAGTGGTTCCCAAAGTTGGGGTCGGGACCCACAGTGGGGTCCCGAAACATCAAGGTGGGGTCCTGAAAAGATTTTTTCTCAATTAATTACCCTAAATGACAACAATTTTTTGCCTTTGTTGTCACAAAAAAGTAAAGTAAGTGTACTTAAAATGGACAAAAATAGCATAGTAAATATTGTTAATATGCTCTTGTTTAAAACAATGTTTATCAACCAACAACAGCTGGGGACACAGGTCTCCACTGCTGGTATTTTGTGGGTCAAAAGCTGAAAAGTTTGGAAACCACTGATCTACGTAACACTTTGATTGTTTGCTGTGTGTATTTAAACTGGTCACTGAATTTACATGTAAAGATTAGAAAGGATTTCTGACAAGTTTAATAAACAGGATTACTGCCGGGAAACTTGAAAGCGGTTATTGAAAATATAAAATGATTTTTGTAATGCTATGTTTATTCCGACCCCCCCCCCTTTTTTTAATTGGAAGCTTGCCAGAGCTACTGTCCGTGACCCCAAAACAGGAGTTTTGACTACAGCCAACTACAGAGTATCAAAAAGGTCAGTTATTAAGAGAAAGTATTCTCCTGTTGTAACGTTTCATGTCTAATACATACTTAAAATTCATAAATATTTTATGTTCTTTACAGTTTTGACTAACTGTGCACATCCTTGCCACATTTTTTGTTTGTATGTTTTTTTTTGTTTGTTTGTTTTTCTAATAATTTTCAGGTTAAAGCCTTGGTTTATGCAAATAATTAATACCAATAAGCATTTTCCCGTGCTTAAAAATGTATTTTTACCTTTTTAAAATGTTTAAATGAAGCTGGAAAGTGCCATACTTAAAAAAGAAACATATTTCCATTTATCATATCTATTATATCAATTATTATAAATGGTGCATGCTTGTTTCCTTAGTGCCTGGTTGGAGGGAGAAGAGGATGTTATCATTGAAAGAGTTAATCAGAGAATAGAAGACATCACTGGCCTTACAGTAGAAACTGCAGAGTTACTGCAGGTAATGTTCTTAATTTTTAATTACACAAATTACTACTTTATCTCATATTTGATTGATGGTATCTCACTTAAAATGCCTGTAGTTGTATTAGGTTCTTGTTTTTGTTAGAATTTCTTTCAAATATATTGTTCAGCAAAAAAAAATAAATATCATCTGGTTTCTTTAGAGCTTTTTGACAGATTGTTGTTTTTTAGTTGAGGTTTGTGGTTGTAGTTTGTGTTCCCAGCTCATTTTATGCTCATCATTTGAGTTTAATGGACAGAGAAATTTTATTTGTTAGTTTTTGTGTGTTTAACATGTATTTTGGAAAACTTACCAGGTTGCAAACTATGGAGTTGGAGGACAGTATGAGCCACACTTTGATTTCTCGAGGGTGAGTTCAGTCTCTTTCTGCCACTTTTGTGTGTCCATATCTGTCTGCAAACTGCAGTAATTTGTATCATTTTTACATACTAAGCTAATCTTTCCTTTAGAGATCCATGTTTGTTTGTGTGCACAAGGGATTGATTTTCATAGCTAATTTAACTCTACAACATGTATGTATGTTCACCAGAATAATACAAAGAGCTATTCCATCAGCTAACCAAGTGTGTGAATATTTAAGATGTGCAAATTACCCTGGAAGGCATGCTAAGCACTTATTTTTGTAAACCTGCCAGTTTAGATCACGCTACACATTTAAACAGATTTGACTTAATTTTTTCTTCACACTTCCATATTGGTGTTGGCTAATGTGTAACTTGTTGTCATGTTCATGTGTCCTTAACATGACAAAATAGAAAAAAAAACAAGAAAGAAAAGAGGCATAGAGAATGTCATCACCACACAGTTCACCATAGTGTGCCTTTTAAAAAGAAAACTTTATCTTTTATTTGCATTTTATGCTTTAAAACAAGTTATTTGAAGCTGTTCACCAGTTTGAAAAGCAACTTAATCTTGTGACAGAAAACAGAATATTCTGGATAAAGTGCAGTTTGTGCTTTATGCGGTAGGCTCCATTTATAAATCCTGATAATGGGTTAAACATATAAACATCTGTTGCAGCGTCCTTTTGACAGCAACCTCAAGGTCGATGGAAATAGACTTGCTACCTTCCTAAACTATGTAAGTAATGTGTGTGTTATTTATGTCCTGTATTTTACTCTTAAATTTTATCTTATAGAAAGATGAGCCTGATGCTTTCAAAAGGTTAGGCACTGGAAATCGCTTGGCAACTTTTTTAAACTACGTAAGTACGAGTGTTCAGTCGCCGCCGATTGTAGTGGCAGCCGTTTTCCAACCTTTACTTTTGGCTTAACGGGCAAAAGCATTAGCTCTGGTTCAATCTTGGACTTGGATTGATTGACTTTCACAGATCTCCTTCAGAAGGTTGTAGCATTTTAACTAATCATTTGAATCTAAAAAAATGGTGCTGGATAAATATCCATTAGCTGGATATTTGAGTTTTGTTGACAAATATCTAAAAATCCAACGCTTTTTCCTGTCAATCAGTTCCAGTGCACATTGTGAAGAGTTTTGCCAGCCTTTCCCTTTAACATGCAATTATTAAGCCTGCATTTGTTTTCCCCTTACTAAAAGAGCTGCATGGTGACGGTTGCATTTTCTTAGCAAGACATTATCTTGGTTTAGTTTAATTTGGTTTTATTTGTGAACATTTCGGTATTATTAAATATACTATACAGTATATAAACAATTCTTAAAGAGCCTCAGGCCATTAGACATGTCAGCAGAAACACCCTTTGCTCTGGTGGGAATCACTATACAGTATAAGCTCACTGATAGAGACCATTGCAACTAAAGGAATTTATTTCTTATATTTTATTACTGAAACTGAATCTTACCAGCTGAAGAAAACAGAAACTTTAATAAATACATACAGCTATAACACCGTATTAAAATGGGAGCTAAACTGACCTGCTTTCATTCCAGGTTGGTTACTCATGAAGTAATTGGTGGATTATAAATAAAAGAAACACTTTTAAAGGAAGATTTTAATCCTGAAAAAAAAAATAAAAACTAGAAAAATGCTGCACCCTAGAGGCCAAAAAAATAATTGTATGTGAAGACAAAATGCACCAAAAACTGTTTCTTTCTCTGTGATGTATATAATAAGTAATAAAATTCCTTAAATGGTGATAAAAAATGTGGTTATCAAATGCATTAAAGGTATAATTATTTTTTAAATTTGTGATTTGTGGTCTTTTAATATAAGCCAAAAATGTGTTATATGATTCTAGAGCAAGTAGTATTAAATAAAACAAAAGACTAATAAGACAGTATTATGTGGCTGACAACTATGTAAACAACATGATCTGTGTTTTTATTTTCTGACAAGAGGTATAATAAATACACTAACACACCCAGACATTGAACTGTATCACCCCTAAAACTGTCAATCTGTTCAACAAATGATAATAAATCACAAAAAATAAAATAAAAATCAATTTCATATTGTCAGTTTCATATAGTTGCAAAGCTCACAGAACAAAACAATACCCAGCAAGCTGAGTAATTTTTTAATGTAAATAATTTAGTAGGAGGAGCTCTTTCACCTGGGTTTACTTACTGTAATTCTCTGGACAACACTGCTGAAATGCAAGTGATTATAGTATTAGTAGTAGGAATGTGTGGCAATAATGCTTTAATTAAAACAAAGTTCTCACTCATGTTGTCTTTTCTTAGATGAGTGATGTTGAAGCAGGGGGTGCCACAGTCTTCCCTGACTTTGGAGCAGCAATTTATCCCAAAAAGGTAATAAGAGAGTGCACTTTTTATATACATGTTATTTTTGTCACTGCTTGCATATGTGAAGCTTGTTATAAATTGCATTGGCTGGTGGTGCATATAAACAGCTAGGTTTCCTGTTATTTTGTTCTGTGTTGCACCTCATTATACCTAAAACAACCAAAACTCTGCATATCAATAATGCTCTGATGAGTGATTCTTATCATCAAGCTCATAATAACTACATTGTCTTTGATTCAGCTTTTTGTACTCAAGCTTGTTCTATAATTTTAGTTTTTTTTGTCATTTGTCTGAAGGGGACAGCAGTGTTCTGGTATAATCTCTTCAAGAGTGGGGAGGGAGACTACAGGACGAGACATGCAGCTTGTCCTGTTCTTGTAGGAAGTAAATGGGGTAAGTCAAAGTTTCCACTGAAAGCAGGGAGAACGCTACCTGACTTAAACCTTGAGAAATATTTAATTATTTGCTATCATTAAAAAAATAAAAATGAGTGGGTGCTATGAAAAAACCTATAACTGTAACAATAAACAAACAAATGTAATAAACTAGGTTTAACTAAGTTTAATTAGTTCATTAATTGATTTAAGAAGACATGAGGTTGTAGACTGTTTCAAATACCTTCTTAGAAATGTTTAAACTTAACTGTATGGTGATTTGAAAAAAGTAATTCTCAGGTTGTTTTCTTCTGCTCTCAGTGTCAAACAAGTGGATCCATGAACGAGGACAAGAGTTCAGGAGACCATGTGGCCTCACAGAAGTGGACTGAAGTTTGCCCTCACTTATGAACTACTACTACTACTACTACTACTACTACTACACACGCACACTTACACACACTATAGTGCCTTGATTCCAGCCATGATGCAAATCAGAGACAAATTGTTCAAGACTGAACTTGTTAATTTGAATATCAGATCATCCTTTTTTCAGCCGTGTTTCATTACAAAGTCAGTTTAATGAGGAACAAATGTTACAAATATCTAATAATTACATAGCATTAAAAAGAATACAGCTTCTAACAGGTCATGCTTGTTTTTCCAAAATCTTTCCGTGTCCTAATTTGCATTTTTTTAAAAGCTTTAATCTGTGACTATTTTTATTCTGTTTTTAAAGCACTGCAAAAAATAAAAATTAAGAAAATCACTGACTTTCTAGTGGACCTTATTCTGTACATTTTCAAATGGATTAACAGAGATAAAGACAACCAGCATCATTTGTTATAAAATACAGTTAATGTGCTATTTAACATGGTGTTTCTAAAAGCGCAGTATTTATTTAAATTTGACTGTATTTTATTAAAACAATAAAATGTAACATGTATTTTTTTGATTAACTGTTAGAAACCAAGTGTAAAAAGTTTACTAAAACTGTTTCTACAATTTAAAAACTTTATTTTTATGCCATCTTAATATTTTTTTGCACCGTAAATGCTTTAATTCCCCTGTGAACACGGCAACATGTTTATTTTCCCTGTTTCAATTGTGCATTGTTTTCATCTTTATTGTATTTAAATTGTTACACTATTCTCATTCCTTAAGAAGACAATGGAAAGGCAATAAACTACATATTTTGTTTAAATGGTTTTGTCCCCTTGTTGCAAATATTGTATATTGTAACAAATGATATTTAAACACTTTGGCATTTCTTTGGCTCAAGGTGCAACAATTCAGAGCAATAAAAACAAATAAACATGTTTATCATATGTCCAAGTACATTTTATACACACCACAAAGGAATTAAGGCATGTTTTTAACTTTGCTCAGTGTTGAGTGTTTGGCCCTTATCTACACACGTGACTGAAACACTTGCTGGTTTATATTTAGTTACACTTTTTTATCACAACATTCGTAAATTGACTTCACACTTCTGCACAATTTAGTAATAGGTCTGAACGTGTCAGGAGCTTGTTAACTTGGAATGCTATAAGTCTTCTTGACTACATGGATCATGCAGGGACACGTTGGGAAATCCTCCATTATGAAGGATGTGATTGAGCAACAACTGGACAAAGAACTGTTACCTATTTTCTGCTCCAAGTTCTAAACTCATCAGTTCATCTGAATATGAAGGTAAAAATTGTCTTTTTTCCCTGCTTTTGTGAAAATGTGGTTTCAAGGGTAATCACCTAACCTGTGAACTTGTGTTTGTGTATATATATATATATATATATA